AGCCTTCTGTATCCGTGCTGAGATTTCGTCACACACCAACCACAAGGGCTGATGAGACTTCCAAGATAAGTGAAGCGGTCGACACACTCAACTACTTCACTCCCTATCATTAGTTCGGGTGTCGATGTAACCCAATCCTGAAGCAACATTTTGCATTTCGAGGGGGAGAATCGCATCCCGAACATGCTTGCATTGTTGCTTAGAGTGGTCAGAAGACTCTGCATTTTGTCAGCGTCTTCACCAAATAAAACTATGTCATCAGCATATTCTAAGTCAACAAGTGAACCTCCCGGTAGAAGTTCAACCCCTGTAAATTTAGATGAGGAGAGTGTTATCTCTAAAAGTACGTCGACAAAGTTGAACAAGAATGGGAGAGTGGACAGCCCTGACGAACACCACTTGAGGTAATCAATTCTGATGACAGTTCGCCATAAGCTCTCACTCTACCAGTTGTGTTCGAGTAGAGAGCCTTTATAAGGTTAATGTACTTCTTTGGTACTCCTTTCAGTGACAAACACTGCCATAGAACCTCACGATCAACAGAGTCGAATGCCGCCTTAAGGTCGAGAAATACTACCATTGTGGGGCGTCTGAATGTGTGTCTGTGTTCTAGAACCTGACGTAGTGTGAATATCTGATCTATACAACCACGTCCAGGTCGAAAACCAGCCTGGTTTTCTCTAGTCTGCTCTTCACGAGCTTTGATTAGGCGTCGAAGTATTATTGAAGCTAATATTTTAGACACTATATTAGTCAAACTGATTCCTCTGTGATTGTCACAAGAGGACTTTTGTCCTTTCTTATAGACTGGCACAATCAGTGATTGAGACCAGTCAGATGGGATTACGTCCAGTTCCCAAATTCTACCTAAGACCTCAGTTAATCTCACTGCTAAAAATCTCAGGAGTAAACCTGTCAGGGCCTGCTGCTCTCCCTCGTTTCAGATTTCCTATGGCTTTTTCAACTTCGTAAAGGGACGGAGGACCTACATTAACTTGCCATTCAGGTTGACTGGAGATCGTGGGAAACCGAAGTGTGGCTGAAGGCCAGTTGAACTGATCCCTAAAGTGTTCTGCCCATCGATCCAATCTCCTGGATTGAGAATGAATAATATGTCCATCTTTCTCTGAGATTGTTTCGCTAACGGTCGGGTTCCTAATTCCGGTTTCCTTAACGAGTCTGAACAATTGTCTGCTATTACCTATTGCCGCTGCCTTTTCCATCTCTCTTGCTTTCGCTACCCACCACTGTTCGCGATCATTGCGTAGACTTCTTGTCAGCTTGCGCTTAAGCTGACTCCGCTCTTCATTATGTTCAGAGCCAGGTGGAATGAGTTTCCGAGCATCTATCAGTGAGATAGATGCTGCTGAGATCCAGTGTTGCTCCCTAACCTTCTGGTTTACCTTACTAGCAGATATCACTGCTGTTTCCACAGCTTTTCGGATATCATTCCATGCTGCATCGGGGTGGGCATCACATACATGGCTGCCTAACTGTTTTCCTAGTTGTTCCTGAAATATACTCTTAGCTTGACTATCATTAAGTAGGCCCTAAGAGGTTTCCTTGCAGCGTCTTTCCTACGTCCAGTAAGACGCAAGCAAATACGCGCTCGCACTAGAGCATGATCTGAATCTAGGCATGTGCTCCAGAATGAGCGACAGTCTTCTATCGAGCCCCTCCATCGGTGGCTGATAGCGATGTGATCTATTTGGGTCCAACGTTGGGACGAATTAGGGGGTCGCCATGTTAAAAGATGTTTTTCCTTATGCTTAAAGTTAGTATTTGCAAGGAACAGGCGGTTATCTGAGCATAGCTGCAACAGACGGTCGCCATTATCTGTTCTTTGAGCCACGACACCATAAGATCCACCTAGGTGTCTTTCCCTATCGCTTAGTTTACCTACTTGAGCATTAAAGTCACCGGCCACTATTACTACATCCGAGAGCCTAGCTTTTCGGAGAAGGTCGGAAAGCTTTCTGTAAAACTCATCTTTTACATCATCTGAGCTGCAGTCAGTGGGAGAATAGGCAGAGACGACGAAGAGGCAACGACGAGTGTCCCTATCTTTCCGGATTCTTACTGTTCCGTTCAGTCGGACAGCGCACAAACGACTGTCTACTGGGATCCACTCTAAGAGAGCTAGTTCTGCCCTAGGACTCAATGCTATACCTACGCCGGCGAGGCCACGGGAAGCAGAATCAGGGCTTCCAGATACACGAAGCGTAAATCGAGTCGGTTCTTTATTTTGGCATGGTGAGGTCAAATGAATGACGCTACTCGGATCCTGTATGCGCGTTTCGGAGACGCAGCACACATCGATGGCGCGAGATTCTAAAGTTTTAGCTAAGGAAGCCTGCTGTCCTATTTGGCAAAGTGTTCGTACGTTAAAAGCTCCTACGTGTAGTTTAGAGCGTGGTTTCAGGAGACCAGGAATGGCGTTCCACGTACTCGAATCGTTTGCCCTAGCGGTGCGAGGTGATAAAGAGACGTGAGGAGGGTTAGTCATGGAGATAAGAGAGGTATTAGGAGGTGTAGGAAGGATTTGAATGTGACCAACTTGGTCTCGTGTGCTGTTACGGGTATGAGGGCTGATATAACTTCCCGGCTGCCCACACCGTGACCGCAGAGCCCAGCGGACAACTGCTTGAGGCCGGTCGCACACGGCCTTTTCGTGGAAGGTTTTTAATGTGTTAGCTCCGTTCTTCAAAGGGCCTTACCGCCGGAGACGGTAATCCGTGAGGTAAGGTGAGGTGTGCATTTTTAGGGTCGACCTTTTCTAACCACACCCCTCCTTGTGGGAAGGCAGCATCGCTATCATGCTGGTTGTCCGAGGGAAACACCTTACCGCTGTCACACCTCTGTACAGTCAGCAGTACGACTTCGCCTTCGGACCTTGGGTTTGTTGCTTTTAGTCCTACCGCTCTTCAACCGACCTGTCTGACATGGTAGGACCTTGAGGAAAAGTTGTTCCAGCCAGTATAGCTCGGTTGGTTCATCACGATAGGCAAGCCCCACCACCACGTCAAGGTAGCAACAACGGTCAAGCCTGCTCCTCGCGAGTCAGTCTTTTTCAGGTTTTGAACAACCTACGAAGTATGACGGAAGCCAATAGCTTGGACGCAATCGGAAGTAGACTTATCCCTCGATAGTTGTTATAGGAACCACGTGAACCCTTTTTAAAGATAGGGACAACTATCGACTCATTCCGTGACGTTGGTACACTCTCTAGTTCCCAGACCTTTGTAAACAACGTCGTCAGTTCCTTAGTCAGAAAACCACCTCCATCTTTAAAAAGAACCGGAGGTAAGTCATCTGGGCCTGGTGATTTGTAACGCTTCAAGAGTTGGAGTTCCTTGCGGACTTCCGATTCATTCGGTGGATCAGTCGTCACCGGCGACAGATGGAGAGCGAATTTGTATTACTTCACCAGAGTCCTGAATACGGGTCTCGGATAGACAGCAAACATCGATATTGAGACTTTCTAAAGACAGCCAGCCCTATCTGTTGTCCAACCTGCATAAGTGTGCGAACGTTGAAGGCAGCCAGTTTGAATGGTGCACGTGGTTTCAGAAAAACTGCTTCAGAACTCGTATTCGGTGGTAGCATACAATTTTCAATCAGGCAGTGACTCGAGAACGTTAGATAGAGCCGAATTCCCACCATAGGTGAGCTGCTGTATGAGTTGAAAAATAATGATACACAGAGTGGGGATAAAAGAGAGTGAATAAATGACGTAGTAAATAATAATAATGATAATAATAGTAATAATAATAATAATAATGTGAATCATTTTGATTGTTAATCGCAGCAAGAAGAGTATTTTCCATAAATATAGACAGTTCATCATAGTTGTGTGTGGACTGTGATACTGCGCGGGTGCCCAGACCGAAGCAGGTGGTTTTCTTAGAGGTCCACACCCCGAGCCTTAGACCTGAAGGTCTGACCTACAAGGCAGTGGAGCATCGTAAGGAGATGCAGTCCCTTGGTAGCCGGTGACCGAAAAATTGGTTCATACGCCATTTGTTCCCACAGGATACTGGGGCCCATGTGCACCATTGAGTTGGAATCCGGTTAAAGCGCCGGACATTCGCTTTTCTTCCTCTCATTCTCGTAAACAACTCCCGCGCCACGAGAAGGCAGTGAGTCGGACTTCCCAGGCAGAGGCTGTATACGCGTGGCCGTGTGAGTGCATTTCGAGAGGGCGGGCGAGCTCACCCCACTCTCGACCATACCAGGGCATTTGGGGGTTATATAGTTCTCGGTAACGTTGGTTTCTAAGATCACATCCTGATGCTACATGCGAACAGTGAGTGATATCTAAAAACTGTATCTTTGAATTAAATATGGATAGCTAACCAGAAAACACATTTAGAAGAGGGCAAGAACAAAGATTCTTGTAGAATAGCATAAATCCACTTAATTTCATTTGGTTGTCTTTAGCTGCTTACAACCTGTAATATTTAAAAACATAATTCCGAAATGAGTTTAAATTACTTACGTGAAAGTGTTTAGTTGAAAGTTGTTCTGAAGACACATCAGTATGGTATAGTCAGGGTGTAAATAAATTCAATAGGCTGAATTTTGTAAATGTACATCTTGTGTAGAAAAACATTCTACAACATTGATTGTAACAAGAGTTCAATCGGCTAAAAACATGCGATTACATAGTGAGTAAACTCTGATATGAATAAATTTCGACTGATAAGAATAAAAGGAGTAAAGCTCAGTTAGTAAAATAAAATTATTAAACTGGAAGACAGTCAGATTATCTGGCACTTTATCATAGTTTTCCTGCTCTACTTTTTCAACGTCAAAATAAAGCCTCAGTCTGGAGGACTTAGTAGTCGCTGACAACCAAGGTTAGAGACTCGTACATATGCCTTATGAATTTCGTGCTTATTTTTTTAAAAATATATCTTTTGAGAAAGTTTTGACCTGTTGATCTGTTAATCATTTGTTAGGTTATTATCCATGATATAATTCTGGACCGTATGTAAAAAATGGAGTTTTATGCAGTGTTCATATGTGTATTAATCATAAATGCTGCTTCGGTAATCCATGTTGTTTGTTGAGCTAATTTCATTCTCACATTATAGGCAGCTTACGAAGATGCTCGGTGTAAATGTGTCTGTTTACTCCCAAGCTCCTATATGAATAATACTAAATCATCAAAGAAGATATATGTGAAAGCGATTCCTTCTGAGAAATGGTATGCTACTTTAAATTGACATTTGTCTAATATTTTTCTTTAATGTAGTACCTGTGAATATATGTTACAAAACGATAAAGACCTTTGTCGTTATTGTGAATGCAAATTTCAGGTTAGAAATACTGCTACCATAAAAGTAGGTTTTATTATTCGTACTGAAATAAATAATTTCTTGACGTTTATAAGAATAGTTAAGTGTATCGTAAAATTTTATTTTAGTTCATTTCTTGTTCAGTACTATAACTTAATGATAAGAAAATCTTAAAAATAATTCATGACTAATATTTCTTATCACAGTTATCGGAAAACGGAATGGATGTATCTGTCTTCATTATTGTCATTCTCACTATTAGTAGAAACTTTGTCTTGTATTCAGATCACAGATGGTTGATTCAAATATGTAACTAATTGAATTAAGTTGGATTTTGTAAATAATAACTTAGTACTCTGCTACTTGTTTTAGAAACTAGTAATTTCTTAATTTCAAGTTTACTCCTTTGTACTACAAGTTGACTTGAAAATAAGTTGTAAAGTTCCCGTATCTTTAAAAATACTGAACAAATTAACAGTTTTCAAATCCAATTAATCATGAATAGATTGCTATTTCTTCGTTTTTACCTGATAAATACATTAATAAGTATCTGCCTTTTCACTTGTGTTATGTCTCGTTGATGTATGATAATGTTACGTAGGTTAATAGGTTAAAAAAATAGGATACACAATAATGTGATAGCATTTCCAAAGTCCAGCTAATACGATTTTTACTAGTGATTCTTTCTTAGTGGCGATGAGGCGTGCGTAATATATGCGTTTATATTCTCTATTTTTCATAATGGGAACGTATTGTACCATCAATAGTCATCTAACGTTTGTTATAGCTGTTAAACCTAATAATATTTTATTGTAGTAACTAGCTCTTAATAATCATGAATATGCAAGTGGAGATATGTTGCAATCAAAGTGTGCTTATTTACAGCAAATAAATAAAATCCTAATCGTATACCTTTATTCATCACCGTTTTATCTTTTGAATATATCCTGTACGATCTCAAGCCACTAACATACAAATAAAAGTATTCCTTTTAATACTGTTGAATAGCTTAGCAACATTTGGTTTGAATTAACACGTGTTTAGCATCTGCTATGTCTGAAGATATTATGAGATCACCTAAAAGTCGGCAAATGGAACGAAGGATCAGCGACACAATGACATGACAGCTAAACTATTCCGATGCGTCTCAGACCCGCTAACCAGAGGGAGAAGTCCAGGTTCAGATAAGACAAAGTATATTCCACAAGCAGTCAGAACCACAAACGACAACAAGCACGTAACTCAAGCGTATATATAATATAGAAATGTCCTTGAGAAACGTCACAAAATAGCATATTACAAGAGGGGACGAATCAATGACATTTAAGGACCTGCCAAGTGGGAAATACAATATGAAGGTGAAAATGGGCGCTTTCGGCGTGAAAACAAGAAATTCAAGTTTCCAAAATAAAATTACAAAAATAAGACGTTTACCAAGTGATTTCTAGGGATCTAGTATACCAAACAGCATCAAAGTGATTAGTTCAGCCTGTGCATGTCACGTTTTTTCTCTGCTTAAGTATCTTTGGTTTATGTTTTTCAATGACTAAATGGTTAAATAATGTATCTTCCCATTTTATACGAGGTAGAAATGTCAGAAACAGCTTATTTAATCACATTATATTCATCGGTCAATAAGTCGTTTATATTACATTTGGTCTATCAACCATTATTTCTTTTCATATTATTTTAGGTTGTTGTTTGCCTTATTCTAACAGTCATTACAGCCTTGGTTTTATATATGCTATTTCTCTTACTACTTGAACCATTACTATCTACAAGACATTTATCACATAAAACAATAATTGATATGGGAATATGTTCAGAACCACAACAGCCAAATAACTTTACTATTAATCAACACAATAATAATGACAAGATAAATGATGGAAGATCAACTAATTCATGGGTTAATATAAACATTCCCGTTAGTAGTAGTGGTCATGGCGATTCAGCTGTATATTCTAAAGCGATTGATAAAGCAGTTATTTGGGATAAAACTAAGTTGACTCCTAAACAATTTATGGATTCCAATTTGAGAATAATCAGTAAGTTTTAAAGTGTTCAATTGTGAATTAGCCACTGACCGTATTCTGAATTCTGTTGTTTATAATTGCTTTGGGTTAATTATCATTACAAACTGACGTCAGTTGAAGAGTGAAGGGGATTAGTTTGTCCCACCATGCACATACATAACCATGTAAAAGCGAACTTGTAATCTAGTTTTGACTGGTTTTCAAGTTATACAAAAATCCAAAAACTACCTTATTAATCGCTAATAAAATTTGATCACATAAAATATAAAATCTCTTATGTTAAGCGGAATGGTAGAGATGTGGCGATCTCTAACCATAGGCTATGATCGTAAAAAACTTAACAATTTAATCGATATCCACCAATGTGAATTGTTAGAACATGCATATATATATATATATATATATATATATATATATATATATATATATATATATATATATATATATATATATATATATATATTAGGGTAGTATGTTAAGCTTCCAACAAATGCATTACTTCGAACAGATTAACCAGAAATAAGTCAATCAACAATGCTTTTAATTTCCGCTACTTCTTTTCAAATAACCAACTTATTATAATTATCAAATAGATCATGATATGCCAACATGTTGCTTAATGTTACACGTTTTATTGCTTTATTGGCGGTTTTATTTCGTAATTTTGATAACTTTGTCGTTTTTCTATCCATTCAAACTTAATTTGCAATATACTTCACTCGAAATGTATAGTCACCTCCTTACGTTCAAATAAAGATAACTGTTTCCCGTCATGACCTTAGTATTATATCACAATTCCATTAACTATATGTGCAAGAAATTGCCGTTCAGACAATTTATGCTTAGATTTTACTGATTTTGTTGTGTTCACCTATTTACTATAAAAGTGAGGATTCGGTTTTACTTTCTTTAAAGCAGCTCCTTCAAATCGCTGGCGATTACGTAATCGCTCTGGGTTAATTTCAAATGATCAAGTTGAAGATCCTAATGGATTAAATCTTACCACAATACCTTCTACATCTGTTGGAGTATCTAGTGTTGTAAATCGTGTTCGAGATCAACAACAGCGTTGGAAAGGAAATGTTGAAGCACAACGTACTCGTGTCTTCAGCGAACGTAGTTTACTAAATTAACATGTAGTATAACAATTTATTTAAATCTTTTTTCATCAGTGATTTCTTTCCTGACAATATAACATTAGTTAGGAGTCCTGGGTAACTGGTCTGAAGCCTACATGACTGTTGATTTCCTCCTATATTGTTCATTAAAAAATAAATAATGGACTAGCTTTAGGAAGCTAAAATATAATTTCTAAATCTCATTGGAATACTGAACTGTGTGTATATACAATAATTTTTTGGTCAACGTTATTTATTTGCTTAATTGAAACTTTTTAATCTCATATACTTAACTATTTGTTGCATAATCAAACTAACAACTTTTGTTCATGATTCGTGGACTTGACTGTAATTCATTAATATTCATTATTCAGTTTTATCTTACTTTTTCATTCAATTACAATCACAAGATGTAAAATGCAATTATTTGTCACGTTAAAATTCGATGGAGTAACATAATTGTTTTGATATTTCACAGTGCTTTGTAAATAAATCAAATGAATACATTCTATCTTAAGAAATATATAAATATGTCTAGTAGTCATATTAATTCATGATTACCGACTACCCTTAAGAACAATACTGGGGACAAAAGCATCGCAGAATGTGTCAAAATCATGTTAGTATAGATGATCTTTGTTTTGTCAGTAATCATTTTCTCTTACAGCCATCGAAAGTAGAGCATAGGAAAGTTTAGACAGTGTTGCTGAGACGACGAAAGTGTAAGATTGCTACAGTTGTCTCGCAGATATTTGCAGCTCAGGTGAATTTGATGGACACTTAAGATTCACATTTGGGAGTTTAAAAACCCTGGCTTCGGACCAATGAGCATGAGGTCCAGGATGTTCAGAGATTAAGTAGCTTATTATGGGATTGTATCTTATATTATCTCGTGTACCAGACGTTTATTTGAAAAGTTCAGGGGTGATCCTCTATGGAAACCACCTGATTCGACTTGAGTGCCCTGACTTGACTCCAGCCTTCACATCATTATTGATGGTTGGTAATATATATAATGAACTAATTACCCAATACATTAAGCTTCACTAATCGTAACTTTTCGTTAGGAAATTTATTTTGTCTTTCAACAATTTGATTTACATAAGGCTCGTAGATTATAAGTATAAATGGCTGGTGATGTATCATACGTCTCCCGCCTAGAGGTTACGCTTACATGATTATAATGGGTGAATACTGCTTATGGATTTGGTAACTGAGCACTGAATGACTTTCAAGCCAAACAAAACTTGAAACCAAGGTGAGTATGACTCCTAAAATTTGCGTTCGTTTTTAGTGACGATAAATATTATCCACTAAATCGTTAATTTTATAATGTCAATATAATAAATCTAGTGTTGGAGGGAAAATGGCTGATGAATTGTTGAGACGTTATGATTTGCGACGTCCAATTTACCATTTTTTTATCCAACGTGGGCGTAAGTGTATCTGTTTCCAATTATTATAAATTCCAACTAATTCCGTAGATCTTTTAGACCGACCCCAGTGTATAATTAGATTCACTTGGAGATGAGATGTAAAAGGGGTTTCGTACGAAATATTTTAGGAATGGTTATATCCCAGGTACTTGACCAGTGGACCAGTAAGTTTAAAATATGTAGGAAGTGAGTTTTGAATTATGTACTGTATAGATTAATGTGTCAGTCAATTGTGAGGTGTGAATCGATATAAAAATTAATCATTGTAGTAGTTGTACTGTCAGTTTATGTGGTTTAAAAAATGCTAATGAGTGGTAGAGAAATAAACAAAATCAACACATGAAAATTGTACATGAGGAAAGACATTATAAAATGTGAATAAGTACCAAATAATTAATAGAGTTGGAATGATACATTTCGTGGTTACATGACTGTTCCGCCTTATCCCAGTTCATTTACAGGTTGTATTAAATCCTACCGAGGCATCCAACCACACGAATCACTTACGCGTGAAAATCGAATTCCAATATATATTTTATTTAGTGAATAGTTATATCATTACAAAATATATTTAGATTAGTGACAAACCTCAACTTGTGAGGTATTTATGGCAGTTAATGTGTCTGTGTATATTAAAGAGAAAAATGCTTCCTTCAGTAATTACCCAGAAATTATCTACAACATACAATGGTGTAAATAAAGTCGTCAGCTGACTAAGGTCATTAGTGACTTATAACAATCGAACAAACGACAAGAGCACAAAATATGGAAGCTGTTCTGCCGAAACAAAAAATAGAGTTAAGGTTACTTGTCTATGCAGGTACTTATGAACAATTTATGATAAGAAATACACGTTCCACACCACATTTTCAAAGTTGGTGCCCACAAATGCCCTGGTACGGCCGACAGTGTGGAGAGTACGCTCTCCCTCTCGAAATGCTCTCACATGGCCACACATATATAGCCTCTGCCAGGGAAGCCCTACTCACTGCCTTCTCGCGGCGTGGGTGTTGTTTACGAAATTGAGAGGACGAAAAGAGAATTCCGGCGCATTAACCGAGCTGGTGGACACGGAGAGTCCACCTAGGGAAGTTGGAATACCCTGATTCCAAACCGATGGTGCCCATGGGCTCCAGTATCCTGACGGAACAAATGGCGTATGAACCAATTGTTGGTCACTGGCCACCATGGGATTGCATCTCCTTACGATGCTCCACTGCCTTGTGGATGTGACCTTTAGGTCGAAGGCTCAGGGTATGGCCCCCTAAGAAAACCACCTGCTTCGGTTTGACTACCCGGGTAGTATCACAGCCCTCACATATGTATCTGGTTCCCCCTTGTATCAATATATGTGTTCAAATAAATGAATCTCAAAGTTGATTAGATATGAAACTCGTTACTGAATATCAGTAAGTAGTTTAGAGCGACACAAAACAAGATGTGAATAAGAAGATCAAGACAGAATTAGAACAAAGGTAACATCTTATACAAACTTTATACATAAATTTATCCCTGCAAAACTGAGAGTTCGTGTATGCATATACACTCTGTTTCAACTGAATTGTATAAGGCTGATAAATCATTGCAAAGTGCAATGCCTACATTTTGATTTCGACACATTACGCCAAACTGTGTACCAACGACCAAATATGGTTTCTCTAATGGTAAACAGAAACTTTTTTCGTATAGTTTATTTCACTCACTTATTCGTTATAACTATAGTCCATTTCATTTTCTCTATTGAAGAAATTCCCTTGTTTTTATTCGATGTCATGAATTATGTAATTACGTAAATAAAAAACTGTTGATATATAATTTCTACATTACAAATTTAAAGTAAAGTATTTTCGAACGTTCAATATTTAGCATTTTAAGCACATTAAGAAACAATAGGCCTTCTTCATATAAATCAGTCGAATTCACTATTTCCAACTAATTGTTTATTTCGTATAAATACCTCAATAAAGTAAAACCATGTACCCTTGAAACAGATCCTATCTTCAAATAGAACATTCTACCCTGTAGATATTAATATGATTATTAATGGAAATAAATATTCTCCTGCAACATTAATTGACAACTAAATTTTATTGCCAACTTAAATAAACTTTTAAAATTTGACTATCATTTTTTTTTGTTCAACAAACTGTGTGGATAATATACTTCTTGTGAAGCCTAAATAGGCGAGACTATAATTTATAGATGAACCAATCAGGTAAAAGATAATAGGTCTCGGACTTTGGCGCAAAATTTACTCATCCATTTGGCTAAATAACGTTTTGCTATTATAGTTGATATCAGTTCATGATGAAAATCCTAAATCTAATTCCTAACTTAAACCACTAACTATAAATCATAATACGAATTCCTCATACTAATTTATAACCCTCATTTGGTCCTAGTTATCAGGTAGACATTCTCAAGGTCAGTCTAGCATCGCTCAAAGGTCATTCATAAATGATAGTCTCATCCTTAAATATCATGAGTTCAGTTGTAGAAAGAAAACGGCCGTCCAGTGCTTCCAGGTTTTCCATGGTGGTCTAGCTCCAATTGACTCATGATTTCAATCTGTGAAATTTCTAAAATCTCCACAAACCCCTTCTGATAATAATCATCTGCTCACTAGTGACTGACTTCAAGAGATACGCCTGGAGTTCTAGTGAGAAGCTGTTACCAATGGAGTTCGACCAGGTCTGGTGTGAGATAGTAACTCACTGAAGACAGTGGTGAACGGTGGCGCAACTCCCTGGATTGGTTGAAGTTCGACATTAACACCATTGGATGCCGGTTCAGTGGTCTAGTTGGTTAAGAGCTTGGCGCGAGACTAATAGGTCCTGGGTTCGGATCTCACGGGGTGTGGGGGATCGTGGATGCGCACTGCTGAGAAGTCCCATACAGGACGAAACGGCCGTCCAGTGCTTCCAAATTCTCCATGGTGGTCTAGCTTCAATTGGCTCATGATTTCAATCTGTGGAATATTGAATAAATTGATAAAATCACTTTACGAAATTTTAAAGTACATTTAGATGTTTTAGTAAAATTTCATGTGAATGAACTGCTTTCCAATATTGATGCAAAAAAAGAAAAAGAAATGCATGTTTACCTATCATTTTTGTTTATTCAAAACAATTACGTCTATTACACATTAACATTATTTATATGTAAAAGGATATGTTTATTTCCATTTGTATTTCACATTTGAAACTGGATATTTTATGATTATGTATGTTAACTAATAAATTAGTTTATTCATCAAATATTACTTTTAATTGCTCAGAGAAATGAGCCTGTGTACCCGTGTATATATATATTTTTGGAGAACACTGAAATTATTCCAAGTATTATAATTGTCTAACTGTTCAACTTACAATTCGTATTTAGAAATGAATTTCTTTACACTTTACGTAACTTTAGTGTACACCATTCTCAGCGCGCATTCAAACATTGAACCACGTAAGTATTATTTTCTAATGAAGCTTTATTGTAACATATTAAAAGAAATATAACTATCAAGAAAATCTAATAAAGATTCAAATACTGATAACCAATTATATTTCTTAATATACTTCTTCTAAACAATCAATTTGAGAAATTGTATAGTTTTAAAGAATTAATAATGGATACAGTCATATAATCAGATCTTTACCGGCTTATAATTCTCGGTCACTTGTTTTGTAAATATGCTCACATTATAGCAATTTCCTACTTATCGAATTTATTTTAAATAACTGATAATGTATTTATACTCCATTTATTCACACAAAGTTGAATACATCAAAATACAAACAAAGATGTGATAAATTCCTTGTCTTTTATCTTTCGGAAAAGCAGATAATGGTAATGATAGCATTAAATGTATTTATTGATGAAAATGGACGTCATGGGAGCGAACATGAATGGCATCTAAACAATGTTTAATAAAAATATTTTTACATATATCTTTAAATATTTACAAGCGAAATGGGCATAACATTATAATATAATAGTTGAATTTCATAAGTCAATTGAAGCTAGATCACCATGGAAAACTTGGAAACACTGGACGGTCATTTCATCCTAGTATGGGATTTCTCAACAGTGCGCATCCATGATCTTGCCTCACGAGATTCAAACTCAGAACTTATCTGTCTTACACGCGAACACTTAACCTTCAGACCACTGAGCCAGTATCCAACGGTGTTATCGTCTAACTTCAACTAATCCACCGTTTACCATAACATTATAAATTGTTGCAATATTCTCTAGTATAATAACCAATATTTATAGTTCATCATTCCTAATAATAAATTCATAATTTGGAAATGCTGTTTTATTTGCAGTTATAGAAAAAGTAAATTATTACAAGTAAGAATTATTGATGATAAACAAATTATAAACATTTTTTTTTTAAACGAATTACATTTTATCATAATAAATGTAATTCAATATCCATCAATTATTATTCATTTAAATAAGGTTGTATTATGTAACACTTAAGGATGCTTCAATGTGTAATCGTAATGATATCACGCTTGCGATTTCACTTATTCATTCAAATTGATCGGTTTTTTTGTTATGTTATTAAGTTTCAATCTGTATTTGAATTATTATATACAGTAAGACTATTGTGTACATTAGGCAAATATCACTTTATGAAAGTCTAGAACCTGAAGTTTGTGCTGATAATGTTGTTCAGAAAAACTATGAAAGCTCCACGACTGAACTATCCAGTTCAGAGGACAAAACTCCATCAAAAAGTTTAGAACATCATGTTAGTATGTTTTTAACATCTATTTACCTTGAACTATAACAGCAAACAATAAGGGAATTTGATGAGACATGATTTTGTTTATAAGATGTTTCATTATATTTTCAGATACGGAGAAATTCAATGTTACAAAATAAACTAGTATTGAAGGACTCAACGATGTTTAATAGAGATGAACACCATTTTCTTTATATTTGATTTAATGAATTACAAATTTCTCGAACTTCGAACAGTAAATTTTCGTAATAGCTCACATAAAAAATGAATTCGACATAGATACTTGTTATTTGATAGTTACTGAGGTTTAGAATATTAAAAAACACAAAGAGAAGTGTGAATACACTTTCGGTCAAATTGTGTCAATACAAATGATCATAATATCAATGATAAATCAGATATAATAAGTTCTAACCTATAATATAAGGTTAACTGTCATCATAGACTGGTATCAGCTGAAGATCTATAGGAAACCATGAAACACTAAACAGTAGATAAATGTCAAGCGAAGGAAAACACACATAATGACTTTAGTTAACGACCATAAATAGTTTTTCCCTACAGTTGGTCATTAAAGCTAAATAATTTACCCATATTAAAAATAAAGTGACAGGTAGTATACTTCAAATGAATATTTCATCATCAAATGTGATTCATATTCTCAGTCAGGCATTAATCTAGCTTTTGAGTTTTTTCAAAAGCTGCTTCTAATAAGGTTTTGTTCGTTCTTTTCATCATCAAAAATCCTTGCATGTAACATCCTCATGTAGTATTATTAATGTCAGCTAGTCGTACAATGATTCACCAATGTCTTTGTCCTGGGGAGCTCTACTTCAGTATGTATTTCATTCAAGTTTATTCCCGGAAACACGTCGAACAAATCAGTGTATGAGTTTCAAGCTCATTTCAAGACAATGATGAAGAAACTCTATTTTATTCACTCGTTCTATTCAGATTCTGAGCTCAAAATTACTAATTATTCGACGTTTTCAACGGCATCTTTCCAGTCTAGGTAAATATAATAGTCAAGTCACACACAAGTAAGACTTAATGTATGAACCTTTATATATAGTCTTCTCTTCACATTATTTAACTCAATTATTTTGAGAAAAGAAGCTAAACTTATCTGCTCAAATATTTCCACACCAACATATCAGGTGTATTTTCGTTGTTTTATCTCATTTTGTCACCTTAATTGGAGATATGTAGAAAAATCATTAGCATATTCGAATCGTAGAGTGTCAGTCAATTATGATATAACGACATAAATTTTTTTCACGTCTGAACTCACATGCAGTAATAACAATGATAATTCGACACAGCTTTAAAAAGTGACTCGGTTGAGTATTATGAATCAAGGTTTGAAGATTTGCAATTAAAGGGTGTTTTGGGTTCATGAAATCACTGAGTGGAATGTGTCAAGTGATAAATAATATGGATTGATTAAGTAATGTCTGCTCTCGAAACTGGATCACCGACATAAGCGTCGAATGAGCTGATGTCAGAAAACATGATATTTGTCCAGCATAATAGTTTCTTTTCAAACGAAATAACATACTTATTTGAAAAGTATTAATTTGTAAACAAGCATGATTAAATATCACAAGAGACTGGAGGAAAGGTTACTTACTATCCAGTGAATAAAAAACTTTCCTACGTTACCTTTGTGACGTGTGATAATTACTCCGAATCATTAAAGATTCCTTGATATGTTAGACACCAACTAAATTGTTATAGGAATAAGCTTCAGTGTTTTTTTTATCACAGTTCAATGAGAATAAGATTACTTTCTAACTACTTTTCAAATAATAGTAGAGATAATTAGAATTTTGGAAATTAGGGTAAAAAGGACACTCGATGGTATCACTAATCTTGTTCGTGTCCCTTTTAGATCTATTAACAGAAACTCTGATAAGATGCCTGAATACGACGAGTAAGTTTTTGACCTTTGATTTTAGAAGTCCATTTCACTTCATTGTTCGTCAAAAAGTTTCGCTTACAGATCAAGTTGCATAATTCGATCTACATACTGTGACCAACTCTAAGAACTTAGATGTTAATGAGAGTATTACGATACATTTTCCCACATGAATTAAACATTTCATAGCATACTCCAAGGTGATTTTCCTTAAGAATTGACATCATTTATGTCAGGACCTGTTGGAATTTAATAATTTAATGCCGTATTTGATATTGGATGAGTAAGTTCAAGGAATGTCATGGTTAGTTTCCTAACCGTAATTATTTCCCGAAAGCTTCAACTTGAAAATAGACATACATTGTCGTATAGTGTATGAAGAATAATTTTACCCGTAATCTCTAATGTTAAGATTGAAAGTCGCGAAGGATAATGGCGAGCAATTTCCAATTAGAGTTACATTAGTCTTTAGCTAGCTTGAAATAGAGAGGTTGCTGTTGCCTAATGAATTATTTCTTCCTATTCGACTTTGCCAAACTCTTAATTAAAAGCTGAGAAACTACTGATTTTAAGTTGTACTTACTTTGAAATTAGTTTAGTTTAGTCTATGTGATTTAGTTTGTAATTCATATAATCTGTTGTTTCTTCAGTACACATGTGATGCAAATGAAAACATTAATACTTGTTAACAGATTTAACCCTTTTATGAAGGATTACAAAAGTAACCCAAACAATGTTTCTCCATGGATTATCATAAACGATCATACCAACATTTTCCTTTACCACATGTCTTAGCCAACTTCCCGATTTCCCACAGTAAGATGAACATTTTTAAATATGTTATTCTTACTTCGATAGTTAGCAATTTTTTTGATCAAATACGAAATGCCTAAATGGTTCTATTTGGAAAACTAAACATGGTATTAGTGAAATGCTTACAACAGTACAATCTTGTAGGTGATTGAAACTAATGATTTAATCGATGTATTATAGTTCCCACATTGATTGAAAAAGCTAAATTGTGCTCCGAAATAAATAACACTGTTACCTTTCTTTCTAATCTCCATCACACTCAAAATCTTCCTTTATGCATGAATAATACAGACACATTTTATTCAGTACTATTACAAACGTCACAAAATCATACAGTTACAATAAATGTGGCAATTTCATGAATAAATCTTCTAGAAAGACCTAAACAAAAATAAAAACTGTTCTAACTTAAAGTGTCTTCATTAGTGGTGTTGATGTGATACCTCTGATAATATTCGGTGATTACACTATTTTCACACTCAAGAGTACCTCATACCAGTATTATGACAGAACGGAATATGAAAACTGACAGAAGTAGGCTTTTGAGCTGTGATTTACACGAGATGAATAGCTCAACATAACTGAACATTTGATAGTTCTAAATCCATCTGTCTACTCTTCAGTATTTTACAATTCCATTAATTGTGTTTCTTGTCTGAGAATTAAATTTCACTACTCTGTCCGTGTAAATTGCTCAGAGGTAATATCCCGATCTATTTCAATATGGATCGTGTTTGTAAACAAACAACATGTTTTCCCATTTTATTAAATGGTAGTGGTAATGCTATTTTCAGCAGCGTTTATTGTATTACTCTAATGATATTATTTCTAAAATTATTGTAGGGTTCAAGCAAACTGCGATTTGTAGTTACTAAACTTTGTTCTTCATGCAAGCTACAGTGAAACGTCTGAACTCTGTCTGACATACATATTATTTGGCAAACGATAGAATTAAGTTCAGTCGTTCTGTTTGTTGGGTTGTGGAATTCATCATCTGAATGTAGCCACGAGTGTAACTGTGATTATTCGTCTTGATTTCTAAGCCGATCACTAAATAATAAAAAAATTACTAGCTATAATACCTGGATCAAATTACCATTTTTCTGGCTTCAATAAAACCAATGTAACATTTACAGAAAGATGTTAAACCAGTTTGGTATTTATTATTCTGAAAGTTATCAGTTGAATATTAGATACCGTCCCAATTAGCTCTTAATTTAATTTCACATTTGGAATGGAAGTATATGCTTGCTATTATTCAAAGCGTATAACTTTCTGTTTATATTAAGAAATCTAGTGATCACACACACACCATCTTTGATAATATATTTAAACCCATGCCATTTATTTACCCCTTAATCATTCTGTGAATTATAGTAAGCAATTAGAAGAAGAAGAGTAAGACTACTTATTCCACATCAGATTTTATAATATGCTTTTTCATTATCTAATCAAATCAAATCATATTTTTTCCTATTGTATATCTAAAAAAAATACGATATAATACAGTGTTATGGAAACTGAAGGATAAACCTGATTCTCCGAAGACTATTTATCTTCCATAAAAACGAAACAACTTCTTATTTTGATTCCATTACGCAAATTTTCTACATCTTTCGTGTTTATCACTTATATTACGATAGAGATTACAGTTTGTTATTTATTTTCAGTATGAGGCTGTGGAGATCATTAAGTTATTGATTGAGATCTTGAACCAATTGATGTTAAACCACGATTGAGAATCTGGAAGCACTAGACGGCCGTTTCGTCCTATTGTGGGACTCCTCATCGGTGCACATCCACGATCCCGCTCGCGGGATTCAAACCCAGCGCCTTCAGTTTCAGATGTCCGCGCAATTTCGTGGATTGGTGAGGTTAGACATTAACACCGTCGGACTCCGTCTCAGTGGTCAAGTAGGTTGAGCGTCCATGCGCGAGACCGGAGGCTCTGGGTTCGAATCCCGCGAGAGGGAGTGTGGGTGCGCACTGTTACTTATTCCACTGTGCATATATTCGATTCAATCTGACTAAACATTTAGATGGCTACTTTTGTTTACATACACCACAACGAACAGTAGTCCATTGTCATGAACGTTCAAATAATTTTTCATCCCATAGATAATCGAATTACTTAAACCATTGTAATTCAAATGAGTGAATTAGATGTATTATCGTTACCATTGAATGACATTACTTTGATTTATAATGAAGATAAAACAAATTAGCAAGTTTTCTGATGTTAAATATTTGAATAGTTTTCCAGCAATCAAGAAAATACAAACTAATTATATTATTATGTAATTCAGAAGTTAATTCTATTGACATTGTTACTAACTGGAAAGATTCCGAAAAGAGCTGTGTACAGATTGTAGATGATCTATGAAAAGTGATTTCAATTTAAGAACTATTAGAAGGGATTGAGTAACCTTTAACAGGGCACTATATCTTATTTGCAATGTTATGTGCTTGTTTATGGTATATTGCTCTAAACATGTTTTATCGGTTATCAGTTTTAAAAATCAACAGATTCACAGAATGAAAATTTTATCATTCCATTAATTAATATTTGGCTGTTAAATTTCACTCACATAAAACCTCACTTAAGCCAGTATATTAATTATTCTTTGTTCACTTTAGGAGCCCATTTCACAAATTTTCTGAACTGTAAGTTGCAGACTGACTTGGCTTTTTTTTATAGAACTAATTAGTGTACATTCAGCCATGCGTATATATATATATTGTATGATTGATTTTAGCTTAAGTGATGACATCATTTAAACCGAATTATAACGACTGACTTTGAAAACATTGACGGAATGAACATCGTAGTGCAAAACGTCTACTCAATAAACTAGTTTCTTCGTTAGTGAATAAATCATACATTCATACTGTAAATGTTAATCATGTGGAACATTATTTGACGATTATTTAAACACGAATGACTCTGAAAGACTTTGTAGACTACACAATGGACAATGAATTCAAGTTCTGACAATGAAGGCTAATATCTGTTTCTTGAATCTATTTTCATCGTAGTCTTAATTCTGGATCTGTGTAAGTTTTAATTGATGTTTACTGTTTTTTTTTGAGATAGTAATTTCTTTTATCGATAAAATAAGTCATTTAACAATAACAGGATACAATATTAATGATAATAAATGTACCTCAGTAATCTGATTATGTTTTATCACTAGTCACATACGTGATATTGTGAATGAGGAAACCTTACTTTTGTGGTACACTAAACAACAAAGTGTATCGTATTTGAGAAGGATTTTTGTTCGCAAGCCAGATAAGAGAGATTGTGATATGATTTCTACTCACTGAGTTTATTTATATGTCAGTATCTTCAGTCAATGTATAATTTGATTGGCATTTTGTAAACAGACAAGTCAATGTGACAAATCGACATTCTTTTTTTTAATGATTGAGATCATGAGTCATTTGAAGCTAGACCACCATGAGAAACCTGGAAACACTGGACTGTCGTTTCGTCCTATTGTAGGGGTCCTCAGCAGTGCACATCCACAATCCCGCCTCTCGAGATTCAAAACCAGGAGCGCGAGCGCTTAACTACTAAACCACTGAGCCAGTATCCAACGGTGTTAATGTCTAGCTTTGGCTAATACACGAAATTGAGTGACACGTCAACCCTTTGTCATCAGTGAGTTACTATCTCACAACAGACCCGGTTGAACTCAACTGGTCACTGCTTCTCACTAGAACTCCAGGATATACCTCTTGAAGCCAGACGACATTCATTTGAAAACTTTCACAGAGACTATAACTTCACTTATATTTAATGGATATTCTCATTTTATTTAATCATTACGGAAATTATTATCAGGGAAGCATACTGTCGACCATTTCGAATTTGACCACAGTGATGAGAAATATTCATTCTAATTTTCAAAATATTTACACAACGTAGCCTACCATTGTGGTTGGTGAAGTGAGTGAAATTCTTTAACTAGTATTAAATTAGTTTAAAAGTTTTATGATAATAATATTATTAACATCACGTAGTGATCGTTATAATAGAGGGATTGAATATCAGGAAGCATTGGCTACCTGTCTCGTCACAGTTTGTGATTTCTAAACCGTACGCATTCACCATCGCACCACTAATGACCGAAACTAGCACCTACGGTTTTAAAGTTCCATGCTATGAAGAAACAGCTGTTCATTGATTTATGGTTATCTTTAGTCACTTAAGAAGGATTATTCACTGGTGTTAACTATAAGAATTGGAAAATCTCCATTAAGCCTCCTATAGTAATTATATGTCAGTTTGTGTATTAGATCACTTGTATTGTGAAATAGCATATGAGGAAAGTGTTAAAATCAAATTATATTGATAGATAGTAGAAAGGTTCTATGGAATTCGTAAATGTTGAATTTATTTCAGCAAGATAACAAATTGTATTTACGCCCCCCCCTCTTATTTTTCTCTAAAAATATTAATTCCTTACCTGTAGCCCAATGTACTATGTATTTGAGTAAGTTTTATTTCGAAACAACTTAAATCAAAATATACAAGTTAACAAATTAGTTTCTAAATTATATTTTATACTGATTGGTTATTTTTAGATTATTCCTTTTTAAATATTAACAGATTCGGCAAATCACTTCAGCCTTCATTATCGTTTCTGCCAGTGTTCAGTTATAAACTATTTATAGATACTTCCATTGAATGATTTTAATGAATTTATTAAAATTCATATTATTATTATATATTAGTCTATTTAAGGTTTTTCTAATCGAATCCAGTACACATATATTTTGTCTACAACATAAAAATATTCAGTAATATCAGGAGGGTTTTATAGGAGATTGTAGTAATTTCAATAGTTGAGATCAAGAGTTAATTGAAGTTAGACCACCATGGAAAATCTGGAAGCACTGGACGGCCGTCTCATCCTATTGTGGGACTCTTGAGCAGTGCGGATCCACGATCTCTCATTACGGGGTTCGAACTCAGGACCTATCAGTCTCGCGCGTGAGCGCCTCATCACTAGACCACTGAGTCGGCATCCAACGGTGTTAATGTTTAACTTCAACTAATCCACGGCCGTCCAGTGCTTCCAGGTTTTCCATTGTGGTCTAGCTTCAGTTGACTCATATTCTCAAATATTCAGTAATATTTACATTTTAGTATTTACACTTAAATTATTAACTTCACTATTAAAATATTTGATTTACAATAATGAAATAATACTCATTGAGTGGATACGCTAAGTAATAATTATATAATGACATATAGATTATAAATTAACATTGAATAATTGGAAGAAAGAGGATTAATAATGATCAAAGTAATTATCTGAAAATTAAGCAGTTGCTACGTTGCATAATATATATAAAAAAAGAGAAGGAACTAACAAAATATTTTGATGAATGGTCAGCAGTATAGTAGTTATGTAAGAATCAAGAGACGAATGTTGAGAATAAACAAAAATACAAAAAAATGGAAGAAATACGAAAACAGTTTATCAAAGGTTCTGCTACAAACTCCCGTATACCGGTGGCCAAGATAGCGAGAGTGATTGTACAGACTTCTTTTGGATGCAATGTTTAGATTTGTGAACATGGATTGCAATGGCTTCAACAATGTGCAAAAGACACGCTTGTAAACCATGTGATAAATTTGATGGAATGACATTAAAAGCTTTGCTCAGTTCAACTTGATGACCTGTGTCCACCAAGTAAGCGAGAATAGAACTCGTAGTCACTCTTATCTGTCCTTTGCTCAACCATGGAGGATGGTGTTCTGTTATACAACGACGAATTTGCCGAATTGTACGTCCTATATAACTGGCTCTACAGGAGCATTTGAATCAATAAATACACATAGATGTGGCAAATTCAGGTAATCTGTCATTATTAGTCGTTCTTATTGTGAGGCGGTTGTAGAAGATGGCACACAGTTTGGCTGCATTAAATGTTTTTTGTACCGCCTTTCATCAAAATATTTTGTCAGTTCCTTCTCTTTTTTCATATATTATGCGACGTAGCAACTGCTTAATTTTCAGATAATTACTTTGATCATTATTAATCCTCTTTCTTCCAATTATTCAATGTTAATTTTTTAATCAATATGTCACTACATAAAATACATATATCTATTATATTAAGTCTGTTTTTAGATTTCTCATTTCATGAGATGGCTAGTGTTATTTTCATTACTGAGTATAACAAGCAGTATAAGAATTTTATATAGAAAGTAATAAACAAAACAGTAAATCAGAGAAATAAACTGCTTATCATAATTTCTCTGAACAATCATTGTATTAATGACGAACTATCTGTTTATATTAATTTTTAAGAGTGTTCGCAAGGACTGTATCATGTAAGTTGAAAGATATTAATTTGTTTTAGTGAATACTCTAAACTGATTAGACTGATTGATTTCATTGTATAGGAGTTATATGGATGGTTGTAATAAAATTAGTAACTGGATAAAACCAATGATTGTACTATTGCAATAATTTGATCCATAAATTAAACTTTCTTTCAAGTGTCTACTATGAATGATTCTGAAGTTCAGATCTAGTCACTTCATAAAATGTTTTACTGTCTTATAACATTTATTGACTGAATCATTTCTTATAATACAAAAATCGTACCATATACAATAGGATGATATAAAATGTCATCAATATAAGCAACATGATATTATGTAACAGATAACTAATCCTTATTAGACACCAAAGTCCACATCATATAATAATTGAAAAAAAGATTTACTCAAAGATGAATAATTAAATTTCTCAGATTGAATTCATGAGTCATTTGAAGCTAGACCACAATGGAAAACCTGGAAGCACTGGACGGCCGTGGATTAGTTGAAGTTAAACATTAACACCGTTGGATTCTGACTCAGTGGTTTAGTGGTGAGACGCTCACGCGCGAGACTGATAGGTCCTGAGTTCGAACCCCGTAATGGGAGATTGTGGATGCGCACTGCCGAGGAGTCCCATACTAAAACGAAACGGCCGTCCAGTGCTTCCAGATTTTCCATGGTGGTCTAGCTTCAATTGGCTCATGATTTCAATCTGTGAAATTTCTAAAATCTCCACAAACCCCTTCTGATAATTAAATTTCTCCAATGGATTTATTGTTTTTCATTGATTACGTTATATTTTTATGTTCAATTCTTTAGATTACGTAAACTAAATTTGAACGGATGAAAATATGTTGAATGATATCAATATGATACACGTTGACCAATTCAAATAAAATATCATTTTTGAATTTATCATCATCATAGTAATTTTTTTCTCCCAAAGTAATACATCTTGTATTGAATTAGTTGAGAGGTATAATATTAAAACAGTTCAGTAACTAGAAATAAGGTAGAAAATAGTGAAAATGTTTTATGGCTTATCATATAAATGTATTTAGATGTAAAGGCTTGTAACTTGTCATGTATTTTTGTTTATTAAACATGAGCAAACTTTACATTATATGTAAATATAAAGGTTTCGAATCACATATAAATATAGATGTTTTTAGTAGTATAAGTCCTTTCCATCATATATCCCATTTCATACACATAAATCCCTTTATCATTTTGAAAAGAGCAAGAATAAAGATTCTAGCAGAATAGCATGAATTTCTTTTATTTTATAGGTTTTCGTCGGTTGCTTACAACATGAAAGTTTGGTTGGAAGTTGTATTGAAGACATCTTCGTACACCATTGTTATACTATACGAATATGTCTTCAATATAACTTCCAACCAAACCTTTCATGTTGTAAGCGACCGACGAGAACCTACAAAATAAAATGAATTCATGATATATCCAATTTGTCAACTCAAAAGAAATATAACCTACTAAACAAATGCTCCATCGGGAGTAGTAGGCGTAAGTAAGTAAGTAAGTAAGTAAGCTGTCCACTACATAGGGGGGCACATGTTAGAGGTTGTACGTATGTCTAACCACGAGCCTGCCAAGACCGATGTTAGTAGCAGATTTCCTAAAAGAAGTAATAGTGACGATTGACTTAACAAGCGGCAAGATGGTCACGAAGTACGGCTCATTCTCAGTGAATAAAAGTAGCGAAGTGGCCAAAATGAGAGTAGCAACAGACGAAGGAACTAAATAATAAAGAATTGTTCATAAAGTGTACGAAACTGTACACGGGGGACGGAGAGCCGTACGGATTTGTGACAAAGTAGAGCATGAAATTCCGGTAAAGAACGATCGAGTAACTACATCTGTATCTAGAGGCTGAGGTTAGTCGACAAGTCCAGATGTTGAAGTAAAGTATAATTGAAGAGGAGGACGGCCCGTTTAGCTTTCCAGTACTATTTATAAAGAAACCGAATGTAAAGTACGGGTTCTGTGTCGATTTTTAAGAACCGAATAACATAACAGAGCTGAAACCATGTGCGATGCCAACAGTATCAGAATGCCACAGTGTTTACAATACTGGATTTACGGTCAGGTAATTGGCAGCTGCCGATAGTAGAGAGTGATCAGATCAAAACAGCACTTACCGTGCGTGCTAAGCAGTATCAATTTAGACGAACGCGGTTTGGGTTGGCAAGTGCACCGTTAACGTTCAGAAGATTGGCGACGCTGCTGCTCGAAGATATAGAAAACGTCAGGGTGTATGGCGACGACTTAGCTATGTACAGCCATACAAACTAAGATCACGTCAAGTATGTGGAAGCGATCCTCAGGAGAATTGAAGGAATTAGACTACGAATTAATAAGGATAAGTCGCAGATGGCGAGGAGTGGCATCGTGTTGTTGGGATATAAATTGAGAAATGGAAAAATGAAACGGCTGCCGGAGAAAATTTTAACCATAAAGAACATTGCAGTACCTGATTGGAAAAGGAAATTGAGGCAATTTTTGAGAAGGGTGACGTTCTACAGTCGGCTCGTCAAGAACTTCAATGATATAGCAGCACTCCCATTGAAGTTGTTAAACAAAACTAAGTTCTCGTGAACAGAGACCGCTGAAGAAAACTTTCGACCAAATCAAAAATCTGTTAGACGACCGCTAGATGACGCTCAGATTAACTGAACTCAAGAAACCGTTTACAGTGGCCACAGATGCAAGTGATCATACTATGAGTGCCATCCGAATCAGTCGGATAGTGTGGTGGAATACGCGAGTCACGTCCTCAAATCCACTGGACAGGAGTATTCAACGGTAGAATAAGAGTGTCTGGTGATTGTGTGGGCAGCAAATAAATGGAGACTGTACCTGCTAGTCAGGCGACTCCATATCGAGACTGATCAAAGATCCCTACAGTGGTTGAAAACAGATGGAGATCACTTAGGAAGTTGGCTCGATGGATGATACGTCTTCAGGAGCACGACTTTAGTATCGGGCGTGTTTCAAGGAAGGATAATGTAATGGCGGAGTAATTATTGGGGCCGGAAATTAAAGCTTAACGTCCACTGACAGCATACTCAGTGAATAGTCTAGAGGAAGACCCACTAGAACTTGTCCGGCAACAGACGGCTGACTCTAACCTTCAAAAGGTAATCAAAGGGTTAAAAGAGGGCGCAGACGTCGACAAACGAGCAGTGGACGGTGTAATAATGTTGCTCCGGCAGAAGGAAAGACTGGTGGTTAACGCAACAAGGTTACTAAGAGAGATGAAGAAGGCAATAAGGAACGTGAAAATAAAACAAGTATCAGAAAAGAAGAATGCGGAGCATCAGAGAAAGAGATGGAAACTCTTCGCAATCGGGTGCTTGGTAAAGTGTGGAGTACAGAAAACACTTTAACAGAATGATTGTGATCAGTGAAGTTGATTCAGAAGTTGGAAGGGACGCACAAGTGGTTGCTTGACAAAATTTTTTTCTTCTATTAATGGGTAACCATAATATTATATCCGGACGAAGAATAAGTGAATGTTAACTGCTAGGATCTATTAATGAACTGTTATTACGTATATTCTTATTGTTTAACTATAAGTTAACTATATTATGTGTATGTTCATATTTCCTTTACTACAAGCTTTCATTTGACCTATTGACTATTATTATATGATGTGCTATTCTTCAGTTATTTCCAATTTATTAGTTAGAGTCTCTCACAATCACAGCCACTTTTTGGCTTGATCTTGTATAATTGTAAATTTCTGTTTTATGGTATGATGTGGTCTTGTTTGTTTGTATATAAACCAAGTATGTCTGAAACACATGATTCATATCACGGAAGCTGATATTGGCCTTCTGGACTGAACCGGCTGGGTTAGGTGAGAAGCTACTATCTTGTAGGACCAATCAGAATCTCAGAGTTGACTCTAGGATGCTCTCAGCAATTAAAAAATCACCAAGTTAAATATGAAGTTGACTTCCAAAGTTATGTTTCTAGGTATGTCTATGGAGTTCATGTATGAAATCTATGATTTTCTGATCATTTCAACTAATCATTTTTTGAAACTTTGCTTCACGTCTGCAAAAAAGCTACTATTTCTCTATCTGACCGATCAGCTGTTGTTGTAGAATTTCATTTGGAAACGAAATGACTTGTTATGGGGTTTGTCTATGAAATTTGTGTATAGACCGTAAGTATCTTTTCCGAAGAGTGTAAAGAATTGAGAAACACAATATTCATTTTTGATATGCTTACTAGTAATGTAATAAATTTCAGATGTTAGAAAATAGATATATTAATGAATAATACTCTTGCAAATAAAATCTCCTCAGGTTCTACAGTTATACATCATGGAGAATTAACTAAAATAACTTCAGTAGAGTGTTGAGAAAAACACTATTGGTTCACATAAATTTTTTTCGTTGAAGTATTTATGTATATTCACGAGATTTTATACTATAGCGGTTTATTACAGTAGTGTAAAAGTGCTTTTACGACAGTTTACTTCGTATTGATCAGTTGTAATTCACAAAAATTTATACAATGAGTATTCGTAAAGAATTTGTTACAGAACTCATTAGAGAACCCCACAAACATATTATGTAGTTGAAGAAATGACAATATTTTACTTTGGAATTGATGAGGATGCATTAGAAGGCAGAATTTCTCATGTCTGTAATGTAAGTTCTAATAGAATGGTGATTTCGTTGTAAAAAGTGATTAGGATTTTATTTAAGCACTTCTGACGTATATAAAACTTAACATGTAAGTAAGGTAAGATTTGTGGAGCGTCTGTGGTCGACATAATGACGCACTAAAATACGTTACTGATAAAAACACAGTGTCAATGTATGTATATTGATGAGTACAGTCGATCAAGGTAAGCTTAGCTGGACTGAATAAACTTCATAGACTTCTTGCTTTTTTCCAAGGTGGACATCAAGGGATTAATAACTAACCGAATGCACAAGCATCTGTAGGTGACTTATATTTTGTCCACGTGGCTTCACTGGTGGTTGTCAACTTCACCACAATCCCATAATGACAGTCAACAGCAGACATGAACTACTTATAAGTAGTTTGTTTTCAAACTTCAGAATTCTGGGGACATTCAAGCTATTTCTAGTGAGGATGGTCAATGTACAGCTAATAAACGGCGTTTTTTTTTTACCAAGAACAGTACATAATTCATTCAAAAAGTGCAAATAAATTAGTAAGTATATCTCTGGTATAAGAATAATTCGTTGTGGTGCCACCAAACTTAACCATAGGTGAAACCACCATTATGAAGGAGAAAATGTAGATTAGCCAACATAAGTATGAGGCCGTCACTTTATGTTTTTAGATCACAGTTGAATTTCTGTTCTTCAGTGGTAATTTTGGAACCTCCTTTTTAGTTTCGGACACATTAAACGATATCTGTAAATACTGAATTTTATTAGAAGTCACTCATTGAAATCCAAAGAACTGTTTTCTTGGACATTATGAAGTAACTTGAAGGAAGCTGTTAGCTTCCACAGAGTGAAACCGTATATTGACTATAATGCATCATCCTAGGGGTATTGTTAAACAGGATGAAGACGCCCAACTTCGTGACCAACAGGCAGGATTCCGTAAGGATAGATCGTGTACAGACCAAATCGCAACTCTACCGATCATTGTGGAACAATCAATTGAATGGAATTCATCACTCTACATCAACTTCATTGACTACGAAAAGACATTTGACAGAGTGGACAGAACAACACTATGGAAGCTTCTTCGACACTACGGCGTGCCTCAGAAGATAGTCAATATCATACAGAATTCATATGATGGATTAAACTGCAAA